GATCGTTGCTATCGCCGTGATCGTTGATCGTTGTGATCTGCGTGATCGTTGTGGTCGTTCTTGTCGTGATCGTCATCGTTGCTATCGTTGTTATCGTTGGGCAGCCTTGGAACTTCGCGCGTCCCTTGCTGTGCGGGCCGACCGCTCGCGCAGCGCTCGCCACGCTCGAGGGCTCCGAAGAGGCTCCGCGGAGTGCGGTCTCATAGGGGGGCCCAAAACACCGGGCCTCGCCCTCCCCGGGCGCGGCCAAAGCGCGAGCACCTCGGCGCTCTCGAGGGCTCTCGGAAGGTCCTCCTGCTCCTCCTCCTCCTCTTCCTCCTCGTCCTCCTCTTCCTCCTCCTCCTCCTCCCTCCTCCTCCTCCTTTTCGACGTTGGGCAAACCATCGGACAAAGCCTGCGCCGTGAATGCGGGCAGTGTCAACAGTGACCAAACATATTGAACCGCGGACAGGTGCGGAACACAGTTGGGTAGCGAGGAGACGTAAGAATAATGGCCCCTGTGGGCGGAATAACCAAACCCGCGGCAATGCGAGTGAGGGACGGAACGGAACAATACATACAATCCCGTAATCTGGGAGGACACCGAAAGAAAGAGTCTAGCTACAATTGCGGGTTGTCTGGCGCAGGAACTGCTGTAAGAACCTGCAACCCACCCCGTCCCATAGTCTAGGTAAACCTTCCGCCCCCCCCCACAAATACAAGGGTAGAAAGCGCTGGCAGAGCAACATGCAGGTTAACTTGAAAGTGCCATGGTGAAAAAGTTAGTCAAGAGAGTGATCATCAAGACGTCTTCTTGCTTGACGTCAAGAGAATGATCATCCTCCTCCCACTTCTCCTCAAACCGCAACCCACCCCTCCCAAACTCAGAGGTACCACATATGGTGTGCATGCTGGAGGCTGGCTCAGCCTGAGTTGTCTGGCATGTGTCCTGATACGCTGGCCTGCATTCGTCTGAAGATGTCGATAGGCTGATGCCACCAAATGCGAACGCGGTGCTGCGTATGTGCGCATAGAGAACTGTTGAAGGTGCCCGTATTAATGGCTTGTGTGATGCTGATCCTCCAACATACGATGTGAGAGGCAGACCGGCCAAGAGAAGTGTGCACAGGAGGAAGAAAAGGAACATAAAAAACAATGACTGGTGCACGGCATGAACTAGGCAGCGACTTCCGCTAGGGTCGCGCCAGGCTGCAAGTCCTCGTCCCCCACAACTGCAATACAATCGAAATCCGGCCCAACGCCTCAGAGCCTCCTCCTCCGAAAAAGGTCGGGGAAATGTCCCAACCGAGTTATAGCTTAACGTTTGAAAATGAGATGCGCGGGTGAATCTCTAGATGCGCTGTACTGTGCCAAGATCTTTTCCCATCACCGCCCCATGTGCGCCGCCACCTCCGCCTCCACCGGGTCAGTTGGCTAGCGTTGGGAAGTGGCAGACTGCCCTCACCACGACTGGCGGCAGAAACAACGCCCCTCCTTACACGCGAATCAAATAGGGCATGCCAGCACCATGGTGTGCTCTGAAGGCCACGTGCCTCAAGCGTCCCACACCACGGCCAGAAAAATGGAGGCGGAGCTGACCGACAAGCGGGGCTACACTCAGCCGCTGTTCGTCTCAGAAACAACAGCTCTCGAACATGCACCGCAACATCAAGGCTAAGGATGGCAAGGGGAAGGGCATGAGGAAAGAGGGGAAAGGCAGCGTCGGCCGGCCTTGCGTGCCACACGCGCGCGAAGACGCATGGAGAAACGCCAAGCGCGCTATCTGGCGGGAAGCGTCATGCACGGGAATGTCGGAAGGCTTCCCGTCTTGAGCCAACATCGAAGTAAAACGCAGCATGCACCGCGGATCTTGTTTGGCATGTCGTGCTTGCATCGCCAGGTGGAGGGTGGCACGATCCAAAAACGTGCCGCCCAACAGTGCACCAGCAATGTCATCACATGTAATATGGCCACTTTATGTTTTTTTCAAGACAGTATCCATCTGGCCTGTGATATAGATCACCACTGGGTGTGGAGAACCTTATGCTTCATGCTTTTATGATTTTTATAAAGATTTGTGTGTTGTTTTTTTCACTGGGTGTGGAGAACCCTATAGATCTGATCCTGTGGCCTGTTCACGCGAGCAATTCTTTGAACGAGAAGCTGCCCAAATCTGAAAGTTTGTGGGGTGCGCAAGCAACAACGAGTCCGCCCAATCCTCATATGCCTGTGTTCCTTCTGATCTGGGGCAAGTCGGTGCTGTTAGCGCAGAGGAGCCCGCCTCCTTCGCGGTATCCCGAGGAGTCTTCAGGTGGAGGCGGGGTGGCTGGTGTCAGAGGGAGTTCTGGGGGCGGCTGATCAGTTGGCTGGGTGGCCAACTCCTTGAGTGCGAATGACATCGCCTTCTCCGATGCGGGCGGGAATGCTGCAACCCCACCCCAACCTACCCGCGACCACACTGGTAGACTGGAGCTGCCCGTCGGTAGTGATATCTGTACACTGGGAACAAATCCTCGAACTGGAGGCAGGCACGAACTCGTCTGCATGTTTGTTCATAATAGAGATCATGGAAAAGATGACTATCCACCGCAGGGGTAAAACTGTTCTTCGTGCGTGCAAGACTGTGGGGGTCAGCGGCGTGAGGTCGAAATACGTTTGACGAGGATAGAACACTGCACGTCGTTGTTGAGCTGTCGAGAAGGTCCAACATAGTTGACTCAGGATGCGGCTGACGACCTGTCGACATATGCTTCGCGACAGCGGCAACGTCCGTTAATGCGATGTGTGTGTGTGTGTGTGCGTTTTGTTCTGCTGCGTTTGTCTATGCGGTTGAAAGATTTGCGGTTGAGGTCTCGGTGCAAGTACAGAATAATAGTACAGGCTATGATTAAGTCTGGCCTGTCCTCCTACAGGGAGATTCTGGACGAAACATCAAACATGGCCAAACTATACCCTCGCATGCGCAAAAAAAGGTAAACAAAAAAAACGTCGTCCCCGTATTATCTTTACGCTATGTTTGGATAGTCCTTCCTGTAGAGGGACAGACCCGATGCGATCATAACAACTGTGAGCCGTGCGCGCATGGCCTCTAAAAGCGCTGCCCCTCCCAGCGCCAGCTGCCACATCCACGCAGGGCCTTGAGCCCAAACGGTTGAGGTGGCCCGACCAATCATGTTCCGCAAAACGCGTTAGTATAACTGCAATGAGCCATGCGCGCATGGCCTCTAAAAGAGCTGCAAGGGACCACTGTCGGGATCGGCCCCGGAGGCGCGGCGAAGCCCCCCGTGCTGGCGGGGTGGGCGCGCTGCCACGGCACGCTTGGCGCGGCTGCGATTGCCTCCTCCTCCTCCTCCTCCTCCTCTTCCTCGTCCTCCTCCTCGTCCTCCTCCTCCTCCTCCTCCTCCTCCTCCTCCTCCTCCTCTCCCTGTCCTTATAAACATCTTCTCCCTGTCACACCCCGAGGCCTGTTTTTAGGGCGGGCCGGGCGTTTCATCTGAGACTCCCTCTCCACTTATGACCCTGGAACTTCAAACTTGACAACCGCTTCACACATGGAGGGCGGGTCGCTCTCAACATGTGGTTCTCGCCTTAGCGCCGCACACATTCGCTCTAAGAAGATGCAAGACTTCCACGGATTGAGGGCGGGTGGCTGAAAAATACGTCTCTCGCCTTAGCGCCGCGCACATTCGTTCTCAAAAGTTGCAAACGTTTCACGAATTGAGGGCGGGTGGTTTTCAACATGTAGATCTCGCCTTAGCGCCGCGCACCGTCGTTTCAAAAAGGTTGCAAGAATTTCGCAGGTTGAGGGCGGTTCCTTTTCACAACGTGGCTCTCGCCGTAGCGCCGCGCACTTTGTTTCAACCAGTTGCAAGAGTCTCACGGATTCCCATGATCGACGTACCAGGCATGGTGTTCTGGAAGGGCTCACGATTCTGAGGGCGCAACAATTACAATGATTATGCGATGCGACCCGCATTGCGCACCCTCCAGATTCCGCGGGTTGGGGCCGAAGCGCCCACTACATATTAAAGCGCATGACAGGAATCTTGCTCCAGATCGTCCATGCATCTCGCGTGGCAAACCTCAGGAGCAGATGAACAGCATCTCGCGCTTCACGCGTGAAGTCCCAGGAGTGGCGTTCGGACAAAATTCAGGATCGTGAAGACGCAACAGTCAAGTGTATCCGTGGCGTCGAATCCCGAGAACAAGGTTTTGGCCTGCTTCAGGGTCTTCAAACGGTTGTCTTCCAACGAGGCAAGCCCCTGTGTGGAAATGAACCGTTGTAGGGGCCTATGTGGAGGGAGCTTGAGGGGAGGGTTTATTCCACCATCGCTGGTGACTCTTGGGTTTGCACTGGTCCTCCTCCTGTTCCTCCTCCTGCCCCTCCTCCTCCTCCTCCTCCTCCTCCTCCTTCTCATCTCCCTCCTCTTCCTCCTCCTCCTCCTCCTCCTACAATAGCAGCTCGACAACAAGAACCGTTCCACGAGAAACCCCACCCTGAGACCCCAGGGCGCCCGCTGACTTCTGGTGCCGGGGCGTCGCGCTGTCCTCTGCAAAACCATCGAGACCCAAGAGAAAACCCGGGGCACCCCGGAGGCAAGCAGGGTGCTTCTTGGCATGGGTCTCCACTGTAAGACCTCCCCTCCCTTGACTACCTACCAGACCACCCCAACCCAACCCGAAGACCCGAATCTGACCCGAATTTCGGGTTGGGCGGGGTACGGGTTCCATGTGTTTTTTCGACGTTCCCCGACCCCCCCCCCACTGGAAATGGAGGGCAAATTGAGGGCTTCGGGTTGGGTTGGGGTGGTTTGGTAGGTGGTGATGGACGCTGCCGCCACTTTCGTGAGCTCCTGGGAGCGCATGGGCCCGCACGTCTCACCGCTCGCTTCAGATGGAATGGGTACGTCCCTGGCAACTTTCTGAGGCTTGGTCCTCCCACGCCTGTACGCCCCGGTTTGAACTCCCAGATTTGGTGTTCTTCCCATCCCCAGAGGGCGCCGGGCGGCGCGCAAGTGCGCCTTCGGCGCCGCCGCTGCCTGCGGCCTCGCCGAGCGCAGGGGGCGGAGGCGCAGAGAGAGGGCGCAGGGACAGCAAGAGGGATGCGCGCGTGCTCACAAGGCTCGGGAGGCGACGAGGGAGGCCGGAGTAGGGAACAAGGGGGAGAAGCAGGGATGGCGAAAGGAGGCGTGGAGCATGGGGAGAGAAGGGGAGGCCGCGGGGGAGATGAGCGATGACTGGGAGATGGGGGCGAGGAGGAAAAAGAAGTGAGGGATACGATTTTAGTGCTGAGCGAGGGAGGTGGGGGACGTGCGAGGGACGAACGAGGGCGGAGGGAATTGGTGAGAGGAGGGCTAGACAGAGGAAGAGAAGGACGAGGAGGAAGAGGAGGACGATGAGGAGGGTTAGACAGAAGGAGGACGAGGGAGGAGGAAGGTTGGGGCGGAGGAGGAAGAAGAGGACGAGGGAGGAGGGTTAGACAGAAGGACTGGGCGACATACATAGAAAGACTCTGACTCTTCCCGTGGACGGGGGAAGGGAAGAAGAGGGTGACAGGAGGGGGGGCGGTGGAGGCAGGGAGGGGACTGGAGGAGGAAGGGAGGGAAGGTGAGGACGACGGGGGGCCATGCGCAGGGACGAGGGGGGGGGCGGAAGGACGCACGACGGGAGACGGGGGACGGCCTGGGCCAAGGACGGAAGGGGTGAAGCTCACACGTGACGCGTACGCACGATGGGAATCCCACTGGCCCCCCTGGGCGTAGGTGGCTCAAAGAGTTTTGCCTTCTCTCTGTCAGCATTCCTCCTTCCCCTGCCCCCTCCGGGGGAGGGGTTCACCCCTCCCCCTGCCCCCTCCAGCTGGGCCGGGGAGCGGAGGGCCGCGAGGCGCCCGAGTCCCGAGAGTGGCCCAAGATGGCGCCAAGAGGGCCCCGGAGGCCCAAGATGGCCTCCAAGATGGGCCAACATGTTCCATCACGGCTCAGGAAAGCATCCGGCATACCTCCAGAAACGCCCCAGGGCGGCTCCAAGGCAATTTCAAGTGCCCTCCGAGCCCCCCCCCAAGGACTCCCCCTGGAGGCCAAAAACCTTCCAACACCTACGGAAAATCATGGTGTCTTGCCTTTTCGCCTTGTCGCTTCCGATTGGCGACGGAGGCCCTAAGATGGCTCCAAGACTGCCCACGAGAGCCCCAAGAGGAGCCCAAGAGGGCAGCAAGACCGCATGTTTGAGCTCCCCAGGGGAGGCTGGATTAAGGACCCCCCTCGTGAGCTGCGGAGGCCAAAGCGGCCCAAAGAGACCTCTGAGACCCGCCCAAACGGCTCCAGAGTGGCCCCAACAGAGCCCCAAACGGGCCCGAAGAGAGCCCAAAGAGGACCCCAAGAGAGCCTCAAGATGGCTCCGAGAGACCTCTGAAAACCTCTCGCGCCAACACTTCCATTCGCCTGACGAGCTGTTCCCAAGAGGGCATCAGGAAAACCCAAAATTGTCCCCAAGATGGCTCCAAGAGACCTCTGGAAACCTCTCGCGCCAACACCTCCGTTCGCCTGACGAGCTGTTCCCAAGAGGGCCTCAGGAAAACCCCAAATTGTCCCCAAGATGGCTCCGAGAGACATCGAAGATTTCAATCTATATCCTGGGAGACGCCGCGAGGCATCCAAGAAACTTCTGGTCGATCTGTTCCTCCTCCTCCTCCTCCTCCTCCTTCTCCTCTTCCTCATCCCCCTCCTCGCACCAGTTGCACGCATGCGCGACCTGTTCTGCTCTTGTGAGGAAATAGAGAGTGCGGACGTTGAGCCATGTGTGTGTGTCTTGCTTGGGACATCATGCGAACCGATGAAAACACCATGTTTCGTGGCATGGAAAAGGCATGTGTGCCCCGCTGGTTGGAGCAAAACATCGGAACCCATGGGCCACGCAGCCAGATGGGTGACTCCCTCCGCGGAGCATCGCCGCGATCATTTTAGGTTGGTTTTCAGCATACATTGCGTTGTCTTCTTTTGTTTCGGAAGAAATCGGTGCGGCAAATCACGGCGCGAGGCTGTGTCGAAGTAGCGTTCGGCCTGCTAGCGTTGTCAACGAAGGCGGGCTGACCATGAAATGTCCCTTGGAACGGCTTTCCTTTCAAAGGCCTCGTCACGGGCCGAACGGTGCCACACCAGTGCGTCATGAGATCCACCACCACGACGACGAACGTCGTGCGATGATACACGACCCAATGCATACGCGGAGGGCCAACCGTCCATGGACCAGTGATGGATTAGGACGCCATGGCGCATATCCTTGGCGTACCACGCGCACCAGCGCGTCATGACATCGGTGGGCCACACCAGCGTTATGTCGGGCGCGCCCCCCGTACAGGGGAATTTTCGAAGAAAAATAGATTATCCCGGCAAAGCAACCTAACAGCCATGTGTAGGAGCATATATGGCAGCATTCCCTCAGCCTGCATCAGCCTCAGCCTCAGCACGAAGCGACCTAGCTAGAAGGACAAAGCGCTGAATGTACACCGATGTGTTCGACGACTGCGTATGTAATGATGTGACGATATAGAGACTGAGCCCTTCGTGAATGTCTACATGTTTTTCTGACGCCTACAAACGGCGCTGACGTGTGTGAGAAAATTGTCCGCGCAGCAAAAGCCGGCGAAGCGTGCGGGAGCTCGCATGCTGAGACAGACTACGTCTGCAGACCGCCAGCTGCAAAAGCTTGCGAGCGGCTCTGGAAGATGTTTACGGAACGGAGCTACGGAGCTCACCCCAGGAACTCGCATACTGAAAAGGAACCCTGCAGGCTGAGAAGCACCGCAGGATGTCGCATGCTGAAAAGCACTTGTACTGCAGAGCGCTAACATTCCATCTCGGGCTCGGACCCCCCCGTCCTGATCCAGAACGTGTCCGCGACACGTGCAGGCTCACCGCGCACAGCTGCACACGAGCGCAGGCTGAGAAGCACCACGCGCATGCAGGCTGAGAAGCACCACGCGAATGCAGACGGACAGACTGAACAGGACCGCCACAACGCAACCTGCATCTCATGACTCCTCAAGCTCGCGCAGGCCATCCCAGTTGCTGTCGGGCCTTCGCGCAAGCGATCTTCGTCGCGGCAATCTTGTCCGTGAAGAGCTCGGCAAAGGCCTTGGCGATCTGTTCCGGGGGGCCGGATTCGATGATGTTCCGGTCAGGCAAGCCGTGGCTCAAGAGTTGGTTGAAGCTTCTGGGGCGCGACAGGCTGACGTAGTAGGCAAGCCAAATGGACTCCTTCTTGAGTCCAGGCGGAAACGTCCAGTGCACGATGAAGCCTGGGTCCGTCGTCTTGCCCTGGACGCCATGCAGAGTCCCCTGCTTTTTGGGCAGCACGGTCAACTGCGTCCTGGACACCGCGATGGCCGGGCCACCTGTCTTCGCTTTGAACTTCCAGGGGCGCGCCTGCGGGGTGATCGCGAGCACTCCGCGCAGGTCGGGGCCGGCAGGCTGAGAAGCACTGCCAGCTGTCACCGGCGCGGCCTTCAAGAAAAGTTCATCGCTGTCATCGATCTTGACATAGACGGCCTTTGGCATGTAGTAGAGCACGACCACGCCGTCCGAGACAATGGACGGGCGGCCCTCCACCGGAGGCTCCAGAGCGTGCAGCTCTATGCCTACCACTTTGCCTGGCGCGCCACGGACATACTTCGGCGGCAAGACGGATTCTGTCAGGATGACCTCCATGCCAACGAAGAGCGGCAGCAGCCCCGGCATTTTTGCGGTAGCGCCGATGTTGGGCTCCGCGCGCATCTCGTCGTAATCAGGCTTCGCGAGGCGCGCAGCTGGTCTGTCGATTGCTGGGACGTAAAAGAGCAGCTGGCCAGCATCGTGCGCATCAAGCTTGGCCTGTGCATGCATGGCGTAAGAGACGATGCGCCACTCATAGGCCGACTCGTACCAGCCTCGTGCTGCACGCAACCGAGGGTCCCACTGAGGTGGCTGAGCGGCTTGGCTGCTGCTGGCAGCAGGCTGAGCAGCACCGCTAGAGCTAACGACCTCTGTTTTGACGATCGCCTGCCAGCTCTCGTCAGAGATCTTTTTTCCGCCTGGAGTTCTCATGGCGTGGAGAACCTCGAGTTGCAACGGGTCTGTAAAGCGCTGCATCTGCACGAAATCGATGACGTACTCGATGTCGGCGAGCAACTTCCTACCCTGTTGGTGTTCGTAGGATTGGCCCGCGTGAGGCGCCAGCAGGGAAGCGGTGGCGGGGACTGGCGGCAACTGGTAGAAGTCTCCGCACAAGATCTTCACAGGCATGCGTCCCCACGTCTCCTGCGGGCGCATGTACTTCGCGGGGTCCAGGTTGTAGCGCAACGCCCTGCCGTAGGTCGTGCGCAGTGCATCTGCATGCAGCAAAGGCCCCGGCACGGCACCCAGCTCATCGATCACGTCGACGCCGAGTGTGCCTGTGAGGCGATCCAGCTTTTTCTGCGTCTGTGGCGTCAAGCGCAGCCTGGCTGTCTGCATGGAATCCGACATGAGCAGGCCATTGGAGGAATGCATGGTCCTGCCGCGCGGGCCGAGGTTGTGTGCGGCGTGGTTGGACTGCGCTTTGCCGAGGTACCCCTGCTCGCCGAAGTAAGTGATGGCCATCGGCTCCACCACTTTGGAGAGGGTGCGCGTCTTGCCGACACCGCCTCCACCGAGCCAGATCGCTCTGTGGTTGCCTGTCGCGGACGCCACGGGGAGGAGATGCGTTGTCTTGTCTGGTCTGCCGTCAAACGTTTCTGCAGAGACAACGCAAACAACGCCACCGCGTCAATCTGCTCCTCCGTGCAGTGGGCATCAGTGACGAGCTTCCACGCAACAGCCGCCGGGCCCTGCATGGCCAAGAGCTGCGGAACGAGTTCTGGTTGGGCGTCCTCGGCAGCAGGCTGAGGAGCACCGCTGGGGAGCCAGTCGTCCGCAGCATCGGGCAAGATCTCTCCATCCGGGCTCGCTTGCTTCTTTTGGAGCGCAATGCTTTGCCGCTGTAGGGCGAGCATGTCAGAAAAGGTCTCGTCCAGCCGCGTGCCCTGATGTTCC